GCCAGGAAAGAAGTCTCTCTCTCCCCATTCACTGCACCAAAGAGGACCAGGGGAGACAAAAATTCTCGTTTGGCAGCCCCATTTCTGTAAGTAACTCAAGTGAGGTAGCAAAAAAAAAGGGCCTTAATGCATCAGTCTAAAAGAAATAGAAAGCCTACCTTTGTTTTCAATAGATATTGAACTGTACCCCAGTTCTGTATTATTTCTGCAGTGCTTTTATTTCCTTCTAGTTTTACTAAAATCTGAGGCCAGTTTTTCCTTTCATTCTTCAGTGTTTTTTTGTGAGGCAACTCTACAGGTCTGAGAGGAATAAGTCCTGGCTTGAGCCAGAATGCAAACTTAATTAGCCCTTCAAACATTTCAGGATTTACTTCAGAAGAGTAGATTGGTATAATTATACCAGATGAAAAGAAAAATAATCCTCAATTCTCATACTAGAAGGACGTTTTTGGATGATGTAGTAGAACAAGTTACAAACATACAGCTGCTCTATCCTACTCTAAACACTGAGTGGGATTTTTAATTGACTTCTCAGGAAATCACATCATTAGTATCTAGAATCACATCATTAGTGTAGATGTCATACAAACTATATTTCTTCTGCATTAAACTGTCCATATCAATTTTCTCTGAACTAGACTGCCAGAAATAATGATGTGTTACCCCAACTGACATAGTCTCTTTGACAAGTACTCTTCTTTGTTAAAAAAAAAAAGATTGAATATCTGTCTCCTCTGGGATGACACAGAATATGTCTGAGCAAAGAGTTAAAGACTAGCTTAAATTTGACCCAGGGCAGTAACATTTAAGAGGCATAACCATTTGTTAGCAGTTCTGAGGGCCTGTGAAATGCACTGCTGGCTCTGATATATTTCTTAAAGGACATATAGAGCATACCGTGGATTAGTTGAGGATATTCGTTTTCACGGTAGTTCTATTCCTTTATAACTTGTAAGTAATACTGAAAGTTAAGCCTGTACAAAGAGCACTGTATGCTTTTGATGCATTTTTTACATGGATGGTTAAAGTTTTTCCAGTACTCATAGACTATGCTTGTGCAAAACACATGTACGCTTCCAACGTTGTATATGTTTTCCAGTTAAGGCCAGCTACCACCTTTGATTCTGGTAACCAGATAAAAAGGAAGTGTCCTTTCTCATACGTGTTCTGGTAAACGAGGTGCTGCACTGGGACCAGGGAAAGGTGGATTATATTTCTAGCACTGACATTGAGCTGTTGGGAGAAATCAGGTCGATGATTTTGTCTCTTTCCTTCCCGGTGTCATATGTTTATGCTATATACTCTTTGGTACAAAATCTGTTTCTTCTTATGTTCAGATGGGGACACTCCAAGCCTACCTATAATAATAGGAACAATTCCTACATCTATATATTAGGAAGAATTATTGCTGAATGTGCTTTTTTTTTCTTTACAGAGTTTTATTTACTGAGAAAATCCAAAGATTTCCCACAGGTGTGAGTAGGAAATGTGAAATGATGTGTTACTAAACAATACTCACCCTTACAATCAAGCCAGAGGGGAGGTTTTAGATGCACAAAACAAAGCCACAAACAGTAATTTGACATGACGATATTTATTGATCCTAATTAAGGTTAAAAAAAGGTTCACAGCTGTCAGATAAAAATATCTGCAGAGCCTATTGAAAAGGGAACTTAAGAAGGAAACGAAAGGAGACAGTCACCACAGAGGCACTTGAGAAAATGCTACAGTTATAAAAGGCACAAATTCATCACACACACAGCATATATATTCCTGCAAAGTGAAGTCACTTTTCTTTTTTCCAAAACACGGAAGCAGGCACCACTTAACACTGACCTGGATTTGTTCACAGGAGACACACTATAAGCTGCAGTCTATGACAACGCATTAACAACTCAACTGTAGAGACACTTAATGAAAGCAAGACCACTTTGGCCATCTCGTTTTTATCTCTATTGAAGAACTGACTGTGATATCAAGGTGGTGTTAAGATGAAGACGTGAGAGGGAATGTTAGTCTGTTTAAAGGTGTATTTGTGGGCGCTTCTAATCTGCATTTTAAGTGGCTTTAGCTCTTGCCTGAGAGTACTGGCAGTTCTGTTGCTATTTAATTCTGGCTCCCTTTTGCATCAGCAGTCTGGTAGGACACAGAATTCCTTTTTCCTCAAAAATATTTTTCTTTCATATCTCAAAAAAAAAAAAAGAACTTAAGACTTTGCACTTCTATAAAGCCTATGTAAGTGAAATCATAGACCCACTGAAGAAGCAGCAAGATTATTTTAATAAAAGCCTCTTGCTTGTCATCCAGGTGTTGAATTCCAATTATGGACAATGCTTAGACATATATTTAAGTGGCATTAATGTCTTTATCTTATTGATAGTGGATGTGCTATTTGGAATCAAAATCTGCATTGAGAAAAAATGTACCATTTACAGAAAGACATGGGGCTGCCTCAGATGGCTCCCTCCTTTGTTACTGTTGAGTAGTTTAAACAAGCAGCTTTCAGGTACTTTGGTTAACACAGATTTTCACACTATGACTTGACATTTTTTTGCAATATACAATTGCTATTAGAACAGTGTACAAATAAGTGAACCACCTTTTATAGCAACCTAAGTTCCTTAAAAAATATACATGATTACACAAACCAGTTCATAACAGAAACATGATTATTTTTAAGGTTGTTCCTATAATGCATTTTACGAAGTTGGAAAACTGCTGGATTTTTTCATGACGGTGGATTTTTCATCAAACAGATTAATAAATTATGCATAGGGCACTGCTGAGTACCAGTTAAACCAGATCTGATTTCTCTCTTTGAAGGGTTAGTGCAAAGGGATTTTAAAATGCAAGCCAGTGCTAACAATTCCTTCTACCCACAGGAAAGTAGGAATTTTCAATTATCCACCTACATTAGTCAGTTTTCTCAGCACACTGGCATACACATACACAGAGTGTCATATTTTCCTTTTATTTGGAAGATGTTGAGAAAACAAGAGCAAACACTTGCTTTTAATCACATAGCGGTCATAAGCTCCACAGCATAATCCTAGTACGACACAGCTGTAGAGTCAAAGAGAGAATTCCTAATGCTTAATGAGTCTGGAAAAGGAGTCAAAAACTTTTGACTGTTACTACAAATGTTGCATTCAGACCTCTCAGATCCTTAAAGCTTGGCTAGAAATCTCAGAGGATCCAAATTTAATTTGGGATTTCAGGTAGTCCTGAGTTTTGGCTGTGGCAAATAGCATACGAAAAGCTTTCTTTGTCTGCTTTTTTTGTTGTTGCTTTCTTTTTTGTTTCACCTTGAAACTAAGAAAGAGAAAGGTTTATATCTACACACATATCACTTTAAAAATTAACCAACCTCATGAAAAGCTTTGGTTATGATTCTGATCAGTTCTACCTGTGCCTAAATTCTGTTTTTCCTTGGGTTTTCTGCTCCTGTGGTGCAAAGTATTTTCTTGTTAGACTAGCAAAAAAAACTCTGCCAGATTCAAGAGCAAAAAAGAAAAAGATAGCTATAGTTTGGACATGAATAAAAGCAACCTGTCTTCATCAGTCTCATGGGTTTGCTTCCCCTTTCCAGACCTGCAGAGTATTTCTAGGACAGAGGCGGGACTTGAATTCCAAGTAGTTTTGGCAGGGAAGTCATTCCGCAAATGCAGCAGTTCTCTACATGTTTGCATGTATTACATAAGTATGTATTCACTGTCTAAAACTTACAAATATTACACTTAAGACTTTAAAAATGTCTCCCCACATTTAGGTTCCTATGTCTGTTTTTTTGGTGTGAAAATTATCTAAGCTGCAAAAGCTCTGAGCTTGAACACTTCCCATTCAGCTTTGGGTTCTTAATTCCTTTAGTAAATAAATCACACAGAGAGAAAGCCCAAGTAAAAGTACTTTAGATGTACTCTGTGGCAGACAAATGTCCTAGCCAATTACTGCTCTGTGTGATACAATGAGAAAGGCCACATGTACAGTACTGCACTGTTCTTTTGACTTAAGGATCTTTATGTCTGAAAAGTTCCCTGATGCATTTTAAAAGGCAGTTATGAGAATATTATTTTGTGATAAAATCCAAGCTGCAGCTACAAAAAGCTTTTCAGCTGGCACATTAAGTTTAAAAGAATGAAATCTACGGTCCAGAACCTGATGCACTGCTCACAAACATTACAGCTTTGTAAGTAGTTTAGTGGATTTCCATGGCACCATTTGGAGAGTAAAGTGCTACTCAGCATGAGCAAGGAGATCAGATGCTAGCCCAAAAAGTCTGCATGAGAGTGATGATATAATTCCTTTACCGTCTGCTCACCCAGTTGCTGAATATATTGTTATTACACTTTCCTCCATGTTTTTTTTTATGCAATGTAATTTCTTTACATATAAGTCATTACTAGTTGAAGAGAGAATTGCAGCGGAGGGGCTCAGAAAAATTCCATCCTCATAAATTTTCTCAAACTCCATGTGCCCTGGACCAAATCCTGCCCTCAGTTATACCTGTGACTTCCTGTTGTGTCTTGCACAGATATAGAACGCAGAATAATCTAGAAAAAAGTACCTATTTGAAAGGTACTAAACTAGGCAGGGCAGAAGCAGCCGTAGATGACTATCCTACCCATAGTTCTGTTTCATCTCCCTGTCATTTAGGCCCTTGATTAGCTACCAAAACTGCACAGTCAGTACAACACAGCATAGCAGGCTGAACTGTAAGTGCTAATCACATTAATCTTGTTGTTAGGAAATACTGCAGTTCTGAATCAAGCTGAATTAAATCAATTCTGAATTAAGCTGTGTTCAGCATGAAGCAAGTGCTGAGAATCTGATAAAGTTTCTATTTATTATTCTAAAGCTGTATTTTCAAGCCCATTGTACCCTACCAGGCAAGAGACAGCCCCTGCCTAAAGGTGTTCAAAGTCTAAACCTAAGTAGATGAAAGAAAGGAAGGAGATAAGAAAATTATGTAAAAGAGCTTTTATGGCCTACTTTACAGCTTCCTGGGATAGGCACAGGTTAATTTGTTCCCTTGATATCTTGCAACAATTTAGGGAGTTAAAACTGTGGAGCCACAGAGGCACTAAAGGGTGAAAAATCTTCCAATGGCTACATCCAAACCCTCACATTAACACAAGGCTCCCAGTCCACACTCAAGGCCAATGTCCTGATCAGCCATATTGCTTTACACATTGGCTGTGGTCTGGAATCTGCCAGTTTTCTAGGCAGAGAAGATCTGGTCGCACCCAGCGACACATGAGCTATGCCCTTGCAGGCAGTGTGAGCACAGCTGGGGCTCCTGGAATTCAACTCCATTGCCAAAGGCAGCAAAGACACTGTCTTTAACTTACTGTGCGGCAACTATGCCATTGGAGATGCTAATAAACTATGGGCATACTGGCATAGTGTGGATGGATAAATTTAGAACACCATTTCAAAAGGTATCCTGAACTGTTCTTGAAGTGCTGCCTAGGCTTCAGACATCTGAGGAAAAAAAAAACCTGAAAGATCCCCACCAGTAATTTGCATGAACTAATCTATTATTCTTTAAGCTATGGATTTCTTTTCTCAGTCAGAGACAATGGCCAGAAATACTTTGTTTACAGCTAGAGATGGACATGCCTATGAAGACTTGCAGTCCAGGGTCTGGTTCTGATGCAAATGTAAAAATGACTGGAAATTGAATCAGAACAGGCTTTACTGAGGTATCTTGTCACTTCTGTTCTAAGATCTGGATTAAAAACCTCAAGGTGATAATGCTTGCCAGGGTTTCCTAGAAATCCAACAAAAAATTACTGCTAAAAGTAGGTCTGGATTCAAGGGGTTCTTTTTTCAGTCTGGATCCCCTTTATTTATTATACCTCCCTCCTAGCATCTTCTCTCTACTGTTTTCTCCTCTTCTCCAGTCATGACCTGATTGTGGAGATAGGGAAGTACATGCCAAAAAAAACTCTGAAAAAAAGAAAACAGCAAGTGTGAGGCTTTTTTTGGCACCTTTTTCAGTTTCGAACTAGAAGTCCCTTTTTGTAGGCAAATAGCCCTGCAGCTGCCACAGAGGTGAAGAAAGTGGAAAATCCAATCAACTTTAGCAGTCCTGGTATAGACGGCAAGTTCCTCTCCCAAAAGGTTGTAGTGATGGGCAGAGCTGGAACATCCTGTGGGGAGAGCATCCATTATTAACATAACATACCCACCGTGAGGGTATACAGAGATTTATATCTCTATATATCTCTATTTATAGAGATATAAATCTAAAGCATCTTGCAGCAGAAACAAAAGTGAGTTGAGACAGTTCATGGTATCAAAAAGTACAGGGCCTCGACATTTTCTTCTCATTTAGAAGGAAGAGGAAGAGATGCATGGAAAGGATTCAAAGGTTGGTTAAAAAATACAATTCTTTTTGATTCCATGTTACTGAACCAGTAGATGGGTGCCCTCTCTGGGCTTCTATCATGTTCCTGTTTAGGAAAGGGTGAGTAAGGAAAAGATTCCAGTGGTTTTGGTTTAGGGAATTTAACTAAAAACAAGTCAAAAGAATTTTATCTCATTAGCAGTATCAAAGAAAAAATAATTCACTTAATCTACAGAAAGACTTACAATTGATTCAGGTTCAGGTTTCCAAATTTCACTGTCTGGGATTTTCCTCATAGCAAACAGTATCTGAAAATGAATAACATTTCCTAGTAAGTAACATTCATTCCTCTAAAGGGCAAAAGATTTGGCTTTCAATTTCTGTTTTAAAGTATTACTGGCTTGATTAAGATAACTTAGCAAATAATTCTCTGTGTATTCAAATTTCAAAGAAAACCTGATCTTTGCACAAGTCATTTCTGGGGAGGCCAGATATTTAGTAAGATACTGCTCCTGGGGAAAGCAAAAACAACAGAAAAACCTCTCCATGCTTAATTATTCCATGTGAGATGTCAGAATTGGACTAGTCCCTATGGGAATAAGGTAATGAGCATGCCTCAGAGTTAAGTACACACTCAGGGCAAAGAGAGGTGTGTATCAGTTACTGAATGGGCAACTTCTATAGGAAGCTAGGAGTCATTTGTTTTGCAAATTTTACCGTGTTGTAGGAAGAGGAACAGGATCCTGCGAGTGATGACAAACCTCATTTTCAGCCAGAGAAAAGCAAGATTTAAAAGAAAACTTTCATAACAGAAAAGTAACCATTCATAGTATCAAAGATACCAGAAATGAGGAGAAAAGCAAAGATTATCTGAAACGATAATAATGAAAGACAGTAAGATGAACTTTTTTAAAAGTAAAATAAAATGAAGGTGATGCTGTTAATGTTTTTCCTATTCTAGTCCCTTGTAGATTTAACTAGATTTGTGTTCTTTTAAGATAGGCTTTTATTTTAGACAAGATTCAGGAATATTGTCAAGTCTTCTATCTAAAACGGTGAGAAACATCCCTGCATTGGATTTTTAATTCTCACAAATAAATGAGGAAAAGAAAAACGATACTTTTTTTTTACCAGGCAAGCTTACTCGCCAACTTCTCTGCTGAGGCCTGTAGAGGTTTTGGTGCAATATATTTGTCTCCTTACCTCAGGGAGGTCATAAAGTGCTACCTCTGGAGGTTTTCAAGGACAGGTTGAATATAACCTTCATGTGTGGGACAGTTTAGGGACAGCTGATCCCTGTCTTGTGGCATCAGTACAGACTATATAAACTATTCGGATCCCTTACAGACCAATTGCTATTCTGTAACTATAGGTTATATCCATAAGGTTCCCTTCACCTCATAAAAAAAGATGAGGTTTCTCTTGCTGCTCCAGAAACTGTAACATTTATGAAAAATATTTGAGGAACTTGCACCTTCTTATCAAGTAAAAAACGTAAGTCCTTGTGCAAGGGCTTATATAAGACACTAAATCAATGGTAATGCTTGGAAACAGTTGAGGAAAGGACTTGCTTGGTCTGCAGATCAGCAGAACTGGGCTATCATGAATGAGGCTAACTGCCACGATCTCTCAGTATGATGACTAACATAAAGTACCCATTTCTGGGAAAAAAATGACTAGGTGAGAATCTTCCCATTAAAGTATAAAAAAAGATGTCATATCCAGAAACAGAGAAGAGTTTGATAAAATAGCTAGAGTACATCCTAAATACTCCAAATTTAAATGCTAAACCTTAATTCTTTTTGAAGCCTATCCCCTTTTCAGGGATTTGCATCAAGATTTTGGAATGCCAGAAGCTGGCAACGCTCAGTCCCCATTTGGCCTCTAACCAGTTTACATGGGATACTTGACAGTGCCTGTTGTTTTGGGCTTGCCTCTGTACCTCTCTGGCTGCTCTTTCTCCAGCCTGTACGGCCCCCTCCATGTATCCGCTCCACTCAGTGGCTGTCTCTGTGCCAGCAAAATAGATCTTGTCAACGGGCTGCCGAAGAATCCTTTAGAGGAACACGCAATAAGTCACATCATCCACATCAAGAAAGATGACTAAAATCCTTGAGCAAAGATTAGAATTAATTTAAATAACAGTGAGCACTTAAAGATAGTAATTTTGAGGGCTTGAGCTGGAGTCTGCATTGCATTTCACTTCTTACAGTAGACACTCTAGTGTTCGTATTTTCTATACATTTAGATTGTGATCCTTGTAATGCTGTTTCTGGATGCTGATCTAGCACTTGTGTAAATGTAAAGGACACTTAGTCTGAGGTGGGACTTATTCTATCTTATGAGTTTAGTCAGTATCCCAAAAACCAATGCCAGTCGTCACTGGCTTTCCAGACTTCACAGTGCAGCATTCTAAAGCATAGACCCATGATATCTAAGTAGCAAGAAAAGAAAGGGTTTTTTACCCTCGATTGTCTAATTTTTGTCAGAACTTGCAATAATTAGTATCATAACAATTACTTTAAAAACTAAGGCCTCCACATGCTCTGCTTTACAGCTGCTTTATTGCTCTCAGTTGTTTCTAAATTGTGAAGACTTAAACTTCAAGGAGGCCTATGGCACTACATTAAAACCTATGTATCTGAAAGGCAGTCACTGATCTGACCAGTAAGCCTTTTTTCTTTTTAGTAAATCTTATTTTCATGAAAAAACATATGTCTGAGAGGCCTGTATACCATGGCACGTTGATTAATGCAGTAAGCTTTATCTGCTAAGAGGAACAGTCGATAGAAATCACTCATAACCGTCAGTGTTGGCAGGACTTAGTTTTCTACCAGTATTTATAAAATACCAGTTAAAAATGTGCTGGAAATGGTAACACTGATCTCAAACACCAAAAGCCTGTTCATAAACAGATTGTGAAAACTTCCACACTGCTTTCCAAGTCTCTAGTCGCTTGTATTCACTGAATAACAGAAGTGAAAAAAAGCCCTAATGTTACTGTACTCATCCATCATAAAGCCCAGTGGAGACAAGTGGTAGGATATCATATCTGTTTAAAACATTCTCCAGTGATTTTAAAAGTATAAAGCCAGTAGAGCAACAGAGGATTTATGACCCTTTCTGAGGTTGTTTATTAACTTGGTCTTATCTTACTATGCTGAAGTCCACCATTAAAAGACATTGTACCTTCCATACTGAGTCATTATGCCTGGTGGGAAGTACGCCGTGTAGCATCCTCCAGAATACTGCTCTTCACACCAGTTCTTCTCTTCATAATGCACTGGCTGTAAAATAGAGATTAATTCACTGGAAGGAAGGACAAAGTCCTGAGGAAACTAACAAAAGAACTGAGTAGACAGCAGGGAAAAATAACTTACAATTTGTTGCATGACAATGCCTGACAAAATGAGCACATTTAACAAGCATGGATCAGACGTAATAAACCTTAATTTCAGACACAGCTAGCTATTTTTTGTAAACAAGCTAATATGGACATTGTAGAACAAAATCCTCTTAATCTGTCAACATAAATTTATGCTTTGAGCATACATTTATGCTTTGAGCCATGTAAAACAAAGTTAACAGGTGTAAAACCCATAATATGTACACTGGATATAAACACATATTGTTTAAAAATGCAAAGTACGGTATTTGCATAGTTCTATTGCTATGTTTAAAATGACATGATCTTGAGACTCATATCTACAATATTTAACTCACTTAAAATTGCCCTTAAGGGATAATGGACATTGATGACATAAATCAAATGTGAGAACCAACAAATCCTATCAGTTATTTACCATTACAGGGAAGGCAAGGGAAATGTAAAAAGAAAAAAGTATGCAGTAATGGATCTCAGCAACTAGTGAGAAGAAGCTTTATGCTGAACACAGACAGAGGAAATGGCAAGCCTGCTGCAGCTGAAAACAATTGAGATTTATGGCACAGCAGTAACAACTGTGAATGTCACCCTCAGCACTGAAGCTGGAACATCATATCTGTGTTTTTAATTGTTGCATAAGATTGTTCTTTTTCACACTGACAAAAACAACGTGAGATTTGCCACAAAGTCCTCTCTGCTCCTCTACAGAGAGAGGCAAGCACCCCTGCAGCAGGTACCTTTCCAAAATACTAGGGAGCGCAGTGCCAGAACACAGCTGCTGTCCAGTGTCACTCTGGCCTTCCCCATTTCAACAAGTCTGATGAGACACTGTGGTTTAAATTTTGTTCTTACGTGTAAAGCTTCCTCTGATCCCAGAACCCTTGCATAGAGCTCACACAGCTTCTTTTTTCTAAAAAAGAAAAGCAACAAAGACTTCAGTGTAAGGAAAGAGAAAATAAACCGCAAAACTATGTTCTAGTTTTGAGAGAACAAGTATTAATATTTGCTTAAGCTTGAAGTTCCAGCCCTTCACAGTCTGTCCTAATTGCTCATACTCTGAACCAGATCACTTTAGAAGTAACTCTTTCATTCAATAAACTCTTGTGTTGTAGAAGCACCAGCTATGGAAGCTGTCCCCTTAACATACCTCCAGCAGCCCACATTCATGTATTATCCAAAGGTCCTTTAGGCTGTCAGGAAAAGAAAGAAGTGAAGCTTTGTACTTTTTCTCTTGACAGATAGTCTAAGTTATGATTTGTTCCTACAAAGGCACAGGTATTGATAGCCTGAGGCTCTCAAAGAATCAGTACTTTATTTATCTATCTATAAAATCTCCTCCTGCTTTAGTGTACAGACTCATGAACATACTTTGCTCTGTATCAAACCCCAAACGCAATGAAGTTTGTTCCTACAAGTTGTTAGGTCTTTCTGTTTACTGTTAGCTGCACTGCACTACTTCCCAAACAGACCAAGATGAGGATGAAACAACAGTTAACAATTATGAAAAATGAACATGGAAACACAACATCAGAAAAAAATATATTTGACTTACTTTTGGAAGCACATCCTGTGCTCCACAGAAGGCTATGCTGGGCACAGGGCACATCAGAAATGCAGCAGTCCCAACTGTAGGTGTAAGGGCTACGCTTACAGCTATATAAACATACCAGGAATCCACAAATATGCTCCAGTATGAAGGAGCTGAGCTCTGCAGGAGCTCAGCTACAAGCAGCTGAACTCAAAGACGGGTATAGAAGAAAGAAGAGAAAAGAAAACAGGAAGAACTGAAGGGCCTTGGATAAGGTGTTCTTCTGTGCAGATTGGTGCTTGAGCAGAAAATGTGGAGGCTGCAAGCATTCACAAGAGCCAGGGTCCTGGGGTCATTTCACTGCTAGCAGGTGACAAGCCTGGCAGCAGCCCTGTAGGACAGGAGGAAAGCAGCCCTTTCCCTGCTCCAGCAGCAGAAATGCATGGTGAGATAGGGCCTGGCCAGGGGCACTCGTAGAGCTGCCAGAGGTAAATACCAACATCCCTTGGCAGTCAGGGGGTGAGGGAGATCCCATAACAGCCATGCCCAAAGGGATCGTGTCCTCCCTCTCAACAAAATGGCTTCTGTGCCCTGCAGACCACCAGCACCCCGACAGTGTCTGAAAGAAATGGTGCCATTTCAACAGCACTTTCCAGCAAACTCCCCTGCTAGGGACTGCCTGCTACCCCTCACAAAGGCCCACTGCCTTCTGCTTTCCAGCAGGTTGGTCACACCATGAGGCTCACAGGAAAATGAGCATAACCTTGGGTTCCATCTACTTCTGCTCCTCTTAGCCCCATGACAGGGGTGAGGAGCACCCCTCAATATCTGCCTGTGCCCTGCCCTTTCTCCAGATATGTCGCATCCAAGAAGATGCAAGTTCACTGCAGTTTGCTAATCATATTGCAAATACAGATAAAGTTACTCTAAGATAGCCGTACAAAAGTTAATATTAACCTTCAGGTCATCAACCTCTTCAGATCATTAAGAAATTTTGACTTGGTATAGAGTTATTTAATCGATAACAAAATGTTACAAGATGGAAAAAAAAAAAAAAGGTTCAGTTTCCAAAGGGTTGAATTGTACCAATAATAATCTGTCACTGAGGACATTTCCTGTAACAAAAGTAGTCCTTGGAGATGTGCTGGCCTTTTGCAACATCTGTGTCTTTTGTCCAAGAACAGTTTGCACAGATATTTGCTAATGCTAGCATGGAATACACTGAATACAGCATATGCAGTGAGCAAACTCCTCATTTCTTGGCCTTGGACTCAATTGCGAAATTTGTCACCAGCACTGAATAAGGGAAATGTTATGTCTAGAGCTGGCCAGAGAGGGTGCTGTTGAGAATTAGCGTGCCTGGTGATTCCCCGCTGCGATGCAGAAGTCCACGTGCAGACACTCAGCTCTTCTCCCTGGGAAGCAGTGCATGATACCTCCACCTTCATTGTACAGCTGTGAAAGGTAGGGACTAATCTAACCACTGCGATTACTCATTGGCATCTGGCCTGGGAACACCAGATGGCAGGCAGTGGTGAGTTTCACTCCCTTAAGTCTGGCTTAGGCTGCAAAACAGTTTCCGTCTCCTCCTGTAACTGCTGTTCTAGGCCATGATTAGAAATAGCTGCCACAAACCCCGCATCTCACTCCTCGTATACAAGGACTATTGAAAACTGTACCCAACACTGACAATGTGATAAAGGGGGAGCCCAGCTCTGGTTGACTGGAGAGCACAGCATCTCACCGGACCCACCCTGCTCCTCTGCAGATTGCCACAAGAAGCTGCAGTCAGAAGAGATTCCTCCCTGCAGACATCATAGCCCTCATCTAAACCACACAAACTGGATGCATCTTGAGCGTATGCTAGGATAACATCCAGGTTCACACTCTACCTTTTCCTGGACCCTGGCTTCCCCTGGAAGGACACTTGTGCTTGTGTACAGGGGAGGAGCTGTAGTTTAATCCAGCAGGCTCGTGCCTTGGTGGGCTGGGACAAGGAATGCAGGATTCAGAAAAGCACCTCCGACTACCAGGCTGGGCTACGTTTATTAGATATCAATCCAAGCATAATGCATAACCACTCCTTACCGAAACAAAATCTTTCCCAATCTAACGTTTATGCCTCAAAAAGACAAGTGTTCAAGACCCTTTCGTTTAGAACTCAGCCATAGGCAATAAGAGAGTCGATAATCACGCTAATACTTGTAACACCCACGTGAAAGCAGCTTGTCTTTCATGGTGCCTTATAAATAGCTATGGCATCCTTTCATTTCACAAAAGCAGAAGCAAATCCTGCAGATGCTCAGATGCATCTTGCACGTTGACACACAGTGTAAGATGCCATTTGGTGTTTGCGATGGCTTGAGATGCTGGATGCACTGGATTTCAGAACACCTATGCTGCTTTTAGAGACCCCCAGGAGGTAACTGACTATCTCAAAGCCTAAACACGGAAGAAAAGGCTGCCTTGTCCAATTCTGCCAGCACTGAAGGAGCTCTGTGGACCAGGCTGTCATTTCAAGAGACTGGGATATTAATAGCCCCATTCAGGCCCATTATCCACAGACTGCAAGGCTACCTGCAAAGCTAATTCTGAGATGACAGCTTCTCTAGTTAGGCTAGCTATTACTGTACAAATATTTATTTGGACATTCAGTATTCCTTGTGGCATGCTTCAAATATAAATGCATTTTCTCCATGTCAAATAAGGCTCTCATATTTGCACTCTCTACCGGTAGTTTTTAATTCGATCGGATGCTGTGACTCAGTTTGAAGCCAAAACTCATTACGCTTTAAATTTTATTTTAATAATAGAGGAAAGAACACTACTGTATGCATGTATGTGTTTTAACAAGACAGTAGAAAAAAAACTTCATCTGTGGTTGAAGAGTGTTTTTTTCTACAACTGAGGGCGGAGAGCTGGAGGCAGCTTTTTGATCCCTTCAGGATGTTGAGATCTGGTTCACGGCAGCTACATCAAGGCTGCACTGAGTTACAAAGGCGGAAAAGACCCTTCAAGGGCCTGAGTTAGGATGATTAGCAAAATCAAGCCCGGTGGCCAAGGCTGTCCCTGCTGGCAAGCTTTCAAAGTGCTCAACGCACCTGCAGGAGGCCAGAGGGGTAGCAGTGGGGGAATGAGGCTGGCACCAGACCCTTTCCATAAAAAGTGACCTTACCAACCAGCCTAGAGCAGCAGCTTAGGGCAGTTTTTTGGACTGAGCGCATGTAAGCAGAGCAGCCTTGTTGGAAGTTGAGAACCTGGTCCAGAGAGTTTCCAAAGGGCAGGGACTACGTGCCAGGTTTGCTGCCAGTGTGGATGTAATTTCCACGTAATTTCCATGTAATCTCCATGTAATCTCCACAAAAACAAACAAGAGAGCTTATTTCCTAAAGTGGCATGCCTGTGTACCGTCACAAAGCTAGAGACAACTTCCTTGGAAACAGGGCATTTTTTCCTGCTCTGGTCATCTGAAACAAAAGCTTGACTCAGATTCTATGCACGCCTCCAGTGTTTGCTCTTACCTTTCTTCTTTTGTGAGGTGCGTCAGTCTTCTACACTTTCGAGCAAGAATGAAGCTACAAAAAAGGAAGACCACAAACAATTAACTTTCATTGGGCTACTTGCATTATTTAAAATGGCAACACCTTATGATGACACGATGCCATCATCTCGCTAGATGATGCCATCAGCTAGCATAATTACTAGCTTTTGGGTCCCTATCCAAAACATCCATTTCACCTCTGTGTGTAATAGTATGTGCTATGCAATCTCTCACACTGGTCCCTGCTTGCAGAATTCACTGTGCAGGAAACCATTCTGTGGTCTGGTTTAGAAGATTTGTATAAACTGTTTTCTGATGCCCTGAATTTTATAAAGAAGTACATGTGGACACATAACAATGGAAAGTGAAGCCTAGAATGAAACTAGCAACTTTCTAAGACTGAACATATTCCCTATCTGTTTAAAAAAATAACAAAATAAAATAAAATTCTAGAAAACAAATTTTCATTTAAAGAACCAGAAGTTTGGGGGAAGGTAAGACATTTGTAGAAAACTTTATAAATTTCTGTATTCTCCCCCTTCTTTATTCTCCTTTCTTCCCTCTACTCCACTCTCTATTTTGCCACACAAAAAGGAGAGGACAGAGAGAAAAAGAAAAGAAGAGAAAAAATAGAATTTCATTTTCTGAAATTTGTAAATAAATTGTAGGGAGAACTTTTTTGAAAGAAAAAAGTCATACAGCATATTCACCATACACAGAGCAAGTCAACCCTTTCACTATTTATTTTACTAAAGTCTTCCTCTTCAAAGTAGCAGGTTTTCCATTTATATTGCTGCCTCTAAGACAAAATGAATAGGCATTACCTAGACACCTTCTCTGCCTCTTACCCTATTATGGCAGGAAAGCTGCCATCAGGCTTAGTATCATCGAGTGTCAGACCAATTGCAGCATCCTCATCTTCAATGATCATGGTACCACAATAATCTGGTGGTCACACGGAGGAAAGAAGTTAGGAACCAGGCATTCAAACCCAGGAATAAGCTCTCGAGAGTCTGAAATATTCAGAACTCATCTGGAAAAAACCCTAAAGAACTTGATCTAAACTGGCCCTACTTTGAGCAGGGTGTTGGTCCAGATGACATCCCCTGCAATGGCCCCATGGTCCCTCCCAACTTATATCATTCTCTGATTTTGTGATTCTAATATGGAGAGATAGAAAAATGAAGGAAAAGAGAAATAAAAGAGAAGTAATGCCATCCCCATCAAGTGACAAAGATTACTGCACAGCTCCCTTGCTGATCTGCAAGGCAGTGTAGCGTTACCTAGGCTCTAAAAAGTGCTAGGTCCTACCTAGAAGAGACAGTTTAAATTTGAAATGTCATGACAATTAGCGACCCTTTTCAAGTATCTTTAAAGCTGAAAGTCAGTGAAGGAATCTCCTGTTGTTGAATTCATGATACTAACATAAATTTTTCTGCAATCCAGTTAGCAAGGTAATTATTAATTGCACAGAAACAGATTGCTCTCAGGTACTGAAGAGGTTCAAATATCTCTAGCAGAGCTATTTCTATATATGACATTTATGACAGATGTACAAGGAGGTATTTATACATTTCTCTGAAAATATGTTCTTAAAAGAAGAACAATTGTTCTTAAAAGCACAGTGTGCAAACTATGAGTTTTACCAGGGAATGGGAGTCACCTTCTGTCAATCCATTCCAAAACCCAAAGGCCAGAATATGCCAAGATCCGGAACTCTTAGAATCATTCACTGATTAAATAGGATGCTATAACATCATAGAAACAAAGGGAGAGTGATGTTTGTAGACAAATGCAGATGTCAACAACAGAACTGTGGACTCTCATTATAACCAGTGAAGAGAAATGGGTACTTATACGGGGCAGTTCCTCTTAGATTCAATAAGTTCTAAACGAGATTAGAGGAATCATACAGTGGAAGTATTCAGCGTATAAATGGAGCCCAGGATGACTCTTCCAGATGGAGATGTCTTATGTGAAAACACCTTAAATGAATCCTGCCCAAAGCATCCAAAAGGCAGAGTTGCTGTAGACTGGAAATTAACAGAATAAAACCTCTGTCCATCACATTTCATTTGTACTTTTACATTACTGTACGAGTGTGAGAGCCTCATCTCATACCCAGCTACCACTGAAGGAACAGGAGAAGACAACAAGAAACAACTAAGACAACAAGGAGCAGGTATGAGCCCGCCTTGCCCTCTCCCTTCATGCCTGCCTTTTTTTTCTCCTCCCCACCCCTCCCCCTTTTCCACTCAGACGCTCAGGTTTCTCAATCAAGGAAAGGCAAGAATGGCATAGAAGCGTACGAAATCTCCTTTTAAGGTCTGCTACCCCTTAAAAACGAAGCCTGCTCTGTTACCGTATACCCTCCCCCTCTCTCTACCTCTACTATCCCTTTCAGTTAAAACTTAATACCCTTCTTTCTCCAGAAAGTTTCCTTATAGTACACGATGCATTTGATGACTGAGCCCATGGGGATTCGGTTGATCAACTGATTTCTCATTGGGGGCAAAGGTGGGTTGAAATGAATCTTCAAACCAAGCGCTGGGGGAATGGCAATGATCACATATTTGCCCTAGAAAAGAAATCATATATAAGTCAAACACGCTCTTCACTGCTTCATCCTAACTATATTGCTCTGAGGATCATGGCAGACATCTGGGAAGGTTGCAGGGTATATCTTCGGAAGCAATTTTGGCCCCTAGTATTAGAATTGCGCAACTGAACCCTCACAAAATCCTGGTGGTGAAAACAACAAATAAGCATTATATAAACAACCATCTGTTCCAATGATGGGCAGTTGCTCTTTCTCCAGCACTTGAAAAAATTCCAATGGAAAGATTTTCTGTGCTACAAGAGTCCGTTAGTCTCCTTTCCAACTGGACTCCTCTGTTGCAACTTGGAAAGCAAAGCCTGAAATGCTTTTCACAGAAAAGTTACTATTAAGCTACATTTTTATTTTCATCTTACAACTGTTGTTCCATTCTGAAGCTAACAGAACACAAAGGAGAGATGCTACTGAGGAAATATTTTGAACATGTACTTTATTATTCCATGCTTTTCAGGCACCATTTTAAAGCTCCGTCATCAACACTACTCGGGGACAACAAGAAAATGTGATCCTATGTCATAGCTGCTTTAATCTACCTTTTGGTACAAGATTTTGGAGAAGTCAAAAAGGAAAAAATCAAGGTATTCTAAGCATCCTAGGACAAGTATTTACTTTAATGTGAACGGTTTCATTACCTCATATAAGTCATGATCTAAGGTTTCCACTATGACGTTTTCTCCTGACTGGTCAATCCGGACTACTGGCTTCCTTAGCTTCACTCGGCCCCCCAGTCGCTCCATCATTTTCTCACTAATCTGGCCAGAGCCTCCAACAAACTTCCTTTCCTGAAACACAGAAAAGGACAATTCAGCAAAGGGGAATCAGCAGAGCAGTGCATGTAAAGTCTGTATCACGACAAACATTTTTCTTGGATTCAAAACAACCCCATTCTTCTGTTATCAAACCTTTTTTGAGAAGTTTGACAGTTTCACGTGGAAAACGTATCTGCGTTACTGTCTCCTTCAGTGAACTTCTGTACTTCCTGTGTCAGACCATTAGCCAAAATTCAGTGTCTCAGTAATCTCATGAGAAAACCCTTTCTCATGTAACCTCCAAATAGATTCCACAGACCTGTGTGAATCAGCAACACTTCTTAGAAGAACTTAAAACTTTAAACCTTTGTTTTAGTTCGCTCTTATCCCTGTAGAGGTCTGTGCATCAGAAATAGCAACCCTGACTCTCATGATGCGTAACAGGGTGTAAGAACTGAAGTAGCTCATACCAAAAAGTTATCTGGCGATATCTAATCTAACTTAAATTAAACTCAAATCACCTCTAACATACAGCAAGATTCAAATAAATGTTTATATAATGCATTTATAATTAAATTATTCGTAATTAGTTATGTACTTATGCATTTTAATGTATTCTAGTGTATTGTGTGTATTTTTATTTCATGCATTTATGTATTTATATTTAAGCTGTATTTTAAAATATATAATTATTCCTAATATAATCAGTTATGTATAATTTATATTTCTACACAAGACCATTAGCCGATTCTTTACTTTATTGAAACGCAGAATCAGGACAAATGTACCAGTTTTCAAACGTTTTAGAACAATATCATACATTAGTAGAGGCACCCATTTTCTTCAAACTGATTTGAAAATCTTAATAGCTTTGACCCTTGGAAGCTTGTGTCTTTAGTAACTGAGCTCTGGGCTGCATTTCCAGTATCGGTGTGGGGCTTTCTGCTCACTCCTGCAGCTAACGATTAACCATCCCCATTAACAGCTTCTGAAGAAGTAAACCTTACATCAGCCTCATGTCAGAAAGAAGCATAATGAATACTTTCTTTCTTTTTTTTTTTTTAAAGTGGACAAGAAAAGTATGTGTTCTAATCAGAGTCCAAGAGAAAGTCAGACTCAGGTACTGATACAAATCTACTGGTCTCCAGGCCAATGCCTTCAACACAGGAACAGCCTTCTACATTGGTGTTGTAAGATCCAGATTAGCATGTAAGTCAATAGAACTAGTTATCAGTGCCCTATTGAGTCAAAATCACGGGAGTCTCCATTTGCGCTCTCAATTAAAATAAACAAACAAAAGAATCAACTGCCAACACGGCCTGTCACAAGCAGCAGAAGGTGGTGGTTGACTGTACCTGCCCTCCATTGGTTGTTGAGAATATCCTGGCTGTCCCCCCACACTGCTTCACGTACCACAAAAACCAAAGGGCAGAGACCTCATGGGGTTCAGAAGTGACGTCTACATTCACAAACAGAGTTGCAAAACTCCTGGCAGCCCTGCACCAAAGATGAGAAAATGAGCTAATATAAAAGCTGAAAGAGGATGCCAATCTTGCTCATTAGCAGAGGAGAGATTGTCTTCGGCAGCCTCTTTTTCATTGAAGCTGAGGGCAAAGGATTCTTTGATTTCAGTTGAAACAGGAAACAATAGTAATTGTTTAGATGTAACATTTCTCAAGGAACCCTACAAAAATATTAATCAAGTATTCCAGCAAAATTAGCGCTCCAGAAGACACAAGAGCCAAAAGTTTATTGCACTTTTTGCTACTACGACAAAATTAGTTTTCTATCATGCTAGACTCAGGATTACAGGCAACAGGCTCTCATATATTCACTGGACTCCAGAATTATCATCTCCTCACATGGCCCCCAGGTTTAACCCTAGATCTGCTGTTCTTTCTGCACTTGCCGAATGCCTGTCCCTCAGCCATGCACACAGCATAGGGATTATCCAACATCAGTCATCTAAAAGCTAGGCATCTAGTCTAAACCAGTTATCTAAACTCTCTTGATAGCCAGCAGCCCCTCACTGTCCTCTCCTCTGCTGCGTTTGGGGAAGGCACACACCAAGGTAGACATGTAGCAGAAATGCACCAAGGAAAGAAATGTACATGGGAAGCAATACAGGAAGAAAAGAGAAAAGAGCGAAGGCCTTAAAATAGGAGGCAGCGTATACAAACTTGCACAAGAGTTTGTCAAAAAAGGGAAAGGCTACTTCCAGTTACTGAACATTTAAATGGTGATCTGGGACCCAGTGGTGAGGAACACAGAAGTGGAGAAGTGGCCTGTGTCTGAAGGAGGATTCCTGCTTTCTATGTCCTACACTTGGTGCTTTCATTTCAGGAATAAGCAAAATGGCTCTTCTACTGGGAATTATTGTACAAATCTGACCAAGATTTTTGGGGTGCACTAAAAAAGAGTTAAAAGATTGAAGCAAGTTTTCTTCCTGTGAAAAGTAAACACTTCCTCTGTCTTCACTCTGAGGAGGATTTTAAAGTGATAAGGCAGATAGGAGCAGAAGATGCTCAGCTTAACTGTATTGTGATTGACAGGGACTGAGCCTTTATATGTATTTCATCAGGCATCAGTCAACCAATAACCCCCAAAGCCAGTACAGCATCCACTTTCAGTTTTTTCTTCCTACATTTCAGCTTCAGACTTCTGAGCTGTAGCTCTACACAGAAAATAACATCATCTGTTCTTGGTGAAAATGCAAAGGCCAGCTGACGCAAAAAGCTAAGGATCAAGCTGCCCCCTGGGAGGCTTGACTTTTGACCCTTTTTCTGAAATACAGGTGGACTTTGGCTTCATTCTTGACAGCCAAAAAATAACACAGAAAACATTTATCAATTTTTGTCTGCATGAACACATACTGTAAAATATGATCAGCTCTGAAAGACGTTTTGTCTAATGAGAGAATCAGTATGTGTATTTATTAACATTTTTTCAGGCATAGGCTATCAGAGAATGGTTAAATTCTCATCACTTTTGCCATTTTCCCCCAGTGCTTTTCAGCATTTCAGTTTCTTAGTTTCACCTGGTGTTTTACCTAGAAATGGCAGTTTGAATTCAATCAAAAGCACATGGGCTGTTGCAGCATGCAGCTCTAGCCAAAAGCAAATCTGTCCAGGCTTTTGATGCAAGGAAATAGTAGATTACCCTTCTAGATCACTACCTTCCAGGGTGGGAAGTCTTTACAGCATGTTACCTGAACCTCAAACAAACTGGGCAGATCAAGCTGAGATGCACATATAAAATCTGAAAAGCATATTGGAATTAAGGGAGGCTGACAGTTATGTTAACATTCAGGTAAAATGTCAAGTCTTATTCCATCACAGAGTTTAAAAAAAAATGACTGTAGTCGTGTGTGCTATTGGATATTAAATGATCACCAGGGTGTGGCGATTTTCTAACTTGTATAGTTCCTTACCAAAGCAGAGATTAAAATGACCGGCAGAATGACCAGAATTCATTTCTATTTGGTTGTACTCAATATGGATGGTGATAGAAACAAAAAAAAGGCTTTTTGTATGCCTCTGTACAACTTTTGCTACAAATGAAAGCAAAATGAAATGAAGATGAAAAATTTGGGATAAGATCCTACTGTCCATTAACAATGATCATGTTGCTATCTAGTGCCTGACTGAAACTGTAAAAATTCCCGTCAATGACAATGTTAGCTCGAGTGGGCGCTAGCAAGCTTGTGCACTAAGCTGGTGCAGGCTCTCTGCAGCAGGGTGTTGAGTGTTTAGGAATTCTGACGCCTTTGCTATAGAAATCAATCTGCTTTACAGAATTAATACTTTTTGCTTCAGTGTAAGAAAACCAATCAAACTGTTCTTGAACGGCAAGCAAAGAAACACTGCCTTGATGTACACACAAAAACAGAAAGCATTTTCAGTTTCTCTGCATGGTATATATTGCAGCAGTTAAACAGTAGGAGGATGGCTGTTACAGTGTTTTCACTGCCTTTCTAAGATGGATGCTATTCTGGTACTTTGGCAAAATCAGCTGGCCCAGCGCAGGATACATGCATGCTGTTTCATCAGAAGTTTGATTCAAAAACCTACTGCAATCAAAGCATATTTCCTTTAATGGTTAACAAAGAAAGGGAGAGCACATAACAGATGGAAGTACTACCTGCAGCTTCAGAATTAACCCTCTTTCGCCCTAATTGTACATTTTCCTCTTATCTTCATTTTAGTAAAGTTTTAGAAATAGAGTGGAATCCACTATGTGCTTCCTCATTCATGCTGATAGATCTTGCGGTTCAATGGTTTTAAATGATTTTCTCATTCCTTTAAAAAAAACAAAAAAACCCAAAAAGCTCCCAAAACACCCACATCACTACTCTAGTGGTACTTATATCTGTTTCCAAGCAGTTGCAGCTATCCAGAGCTCCAAGGTATACAAATATAACTTGTTACATACTTTCAAAGAGCTTCTTACCTCGTCCAGCAAATTTTATCTATTAAATCTTGCATAGTCATTTTATCCCATTCTTCTGCATGTGGAGCCTTCCACGGAGCTTCACTGGGAATCTAAGGAGACATAAAATAGCATTCATCACAAAATGTATGAGTGGTATAAAAAGAGGTAACAGTTAACTGGCTTAAAATGAGAAAATTTGGACTGTTACTCAGGTTATTTTTCAAAATAATACTTTTGTAGTCTTCTAATATTCATTTTTAAATAATTTGTTCCTTTTTTTATTATTTATTAAAAGAGATAGTTACTCCTTTGGGTTGGAATTAGAAGCATAACCAAAAGGAGGAGAGAGTCTACACTGGAAGCTGAATAAAAGAGAAATACATAATGCAAATACATAAAACGGAGGGAGGGAGGAAACTTCTGCTTTATCCATAATACTTGCTTCATCATAGATGCAATCTCATCTTTACAAAGTAATTTGGCCTTCAAATTCCTGACAGGAAATACAGTGAACTTAACGGAGAACAGTTCTAGATTTAAGAATAGAGAATGTTTTTAGAGTTAAGAACTTTGCATAGAAAGACAATGTACAGTGCTGGGGCGTAGCTACGGGTTATTCTGCATTTCTTCTGTTCCTCTCTATAAGCACCAGCCACCTGTTTTCAAAATCTTGTGGCTCAAAGTAACAAAACACTGGTAACAAACTAAAATGACCAAGTTAAATTTGAGGGTGGAGCTGGGCATGTGCTGGAGGTCTACAAAACTCCTAAAATGTTACTTACTCAGTAACCCTAAACTGTTATTTAGCACTTGCCAGGCAAAGTGCTAAGATCACACACAGGAACCTCAATGTTCATCTAGCCGGAAAAACAAAGTATGACTGCACAGATTCAGCGACGTGGTCTTTAGAGCGAGCCGGCCAGGATGCCTCTTTTGCACGTGCTCTGATCATCAGCGTACACCAAAACCTATATTGCAATGCTGCTCTTACCTGCACCAGCCACATCCAAGCTGGAACAGGTTTCCTTATCTGCATTCTCATCCCACCTGCACTCCGCCACATTGATCAATCCCTCCTGCAGAAAAAGCCGAGCAGAGACACTCGGCTGCAAGTCTTCGTGCCATACCTCTTTTCCCATTTCATCCATGGTCCTCCAGAGGTTGTTGTAGTCCAGGTAGGCCAAAGGATTCCACATAGGTGGGAATGGACCTTTAAAGGGGTAAGATTTACCCTACGAAATGAAAAACAAACAAAAAGGTCATGAAAATTAGAATACAATTATAATCATGGCTTCCAAAGAAACTGTGCCAAATGGTTAAGTGCTCACTAGAAGAAAACAAAAATTTAATCAATACACCTAACAGATTCTAACAGACTGTGTGCATGTGCATGACCTAAGTGTGATACACGGTTGAACTGAATCAATTACATGCAAAAGTGATATTGCGTTGTATCTTTAAAGGAAGACAATAAAAGTTTTAGACTGGACACTTCTGGGCAAGAAAATTAGTATTAACAGTGGAGTCACTAAGATCAGGCCAAGAAATAAAACAGAACAGTATATGTCCAGCTGAGATGAAAAACTGGATATCTGTCACTGAAAAAGAGAAATATGTTACTTATTTTTTCCTAAATGTTTATGAAAAGATTAAACTGTTATTGTATTTAGTGATACATTTTTTTTCTCCCAAAAATCAGAGCAAAGTAGCTGTGATGAGCTTTATTATACACAAAATCATGGCTTGGAGACCTTCCTGGAACAAACAAACTGCGTTCAGCTAACCTAAAAATCCACAGTCCTACAGAAAATGTAGCATTTACAAACAATACCTCCCATTCAGTAATCACACCTTTTGGTCATATATTACAGATAGTGATAGTGTAGCCAATATGAATGTTCTAATTAAATAGCTATATTTTTATATATAAATATATGTTCATATATAAATTTATATAAAATATATATTTTATGTGTATGCATATACATATCTATCTATCTATATATGTATATAGGCATTATGATGAGTTCAGAAAGCCCAGCTTAATCAACAGCAGAAGAAGACAGGTAAAGTGTAAATGCTATTTTATTTACAGAGGATTTCCCTGGCTGACTATACAGTTATCAGTTAGCATAATAGCTTTAAAAAGTAACAAGCAAACGCTCAGTAGCATTATATGCCCCCCACTGCATTCTAGACGCCATAAAACAGAAGAACAATAAAGGCCATATTGTGTGCCAAAGTTGATTTTTCAAAATGTATATTGAATTATGTGTTTAATCGGGCACTTCATCAGCATGAATGTCAGTTGGTAGAAGTACTAACTTTGAACAGATATTTGATACGGCACCCCACAGAACAATCACTAAAAAATATTTACTCCCACTGGCTTCAATGGAAGCACAACAACATGATTAAATATTAAGAACCAGGTAACAATAAACAACACTGTCTTATTGACGACAAGTACCCAAAGACCACTTACAGGAAGAAGTGTTAGTCTTTGATTTAGCCTCTTCATTAATAATGTGAAAGAAGAGACAGAGAGCACATCATTCAAATCTGCAGGTGTTGCAGAGAGCAGAAGAGAGAGTAAAACAACACAAAGGGATCTTGAGAGATTAGAAACATGGCCCGGAAATAACAACAGGAGATACAACCTTGAAAAATGCCAGCTAATAACGTTTGAGGAAATCTAATTCAAAGAGAGAAGGCTCCTTAGAAAGCAGTAATACCAAAAATCAAACCTAATGGCAAGGGCAACAGCAAATTATAAATCAGTTTACAAAAAAACAACAGGTTAGAGAAAGTGAAGAAGAAACTCTTTTCCCCCTAGTCTTTGTAAGGGCTGGGGAGTCTAATGGAAATCTCGTAAGCAACAACATTCTTGCACCTGAAGTTAGGAAGAAAGCAAAGTGCAGGAGGAAAGGAGTTAGGTCTTTGGTACATGGACACATGAAGTAGCTGCGAAACAACAGTTTCACTTTCCAGTGCTTTTGAGGAGAGCTTATTATTTGTAATGTGGCAATAGGTCAATTCAGAAAGTTTTCGATCACTTTTCTTTTTTTTAAATCATAGTCAGAGTAGATCTGCAGTCACTTCATGAACCAGAGGTACCCAACTTGAAAACCTTGTATTTCCAATCTAAGAATGGACATTTCAGTTTATGTTCAGAAATATTTCAGAAAATGTCAGGAAACGTTTGTTTTCATTTAATGTGCAACAAAAGGGCATTTTTGATGCCCTGGTGCTTGATTATATAAAAAGACATTAAATTGGAGCTGGGAGAAACATATCCCTGTGGATACAGATCATGAACTGCAGCAATTTTGTATTTCTTAGGAAGCACTTAGTATCACCAATATCAGATACAAAATCCTGAAATGGACATTTTGGTGCTATTATGGAATCTCTTAATACGAAATTCATTTGAACTTGGACAGACCTTGATGCTCTACTGCCGAAGGGCTATGAAAGAAGAGCCTAATATTCACAGACTGAGTAACTTCCTGTCCCAACAACTAACATCTGAACCATTTCAGTAATCACTTCTTAGCCTTTTGAAGCACATTCGCACTCCGTAACTAACTTCTATGGCAGCAAGAAGCCAGCCTTGTTCTGAATGTTCGAGCTACCCTTCATCAGTGTAAATGCTATGCAGGTATGCCAAAGAAAAAGCAGTTTGTTTTCAGGTACCTAACGTTTCCCAGATGTAGATATATGACACAAGTATACTGCTGTGCTCAAGAAAAACAGAAAAATATCAGAACGGGTTACTCCAACTATTGATTTTGTTCTGAGCTTCCTGCTCTGCCAGAGGCAATCCTAATTGAGTTATCCCTTCTGAGTTAATTCAAGTCTTATGAATCCCCTGTGGTGTTTCTTCATGAGTGCACAGCTAAGAGACACAGAAACGATATTTTTGTTTTAGTATTCTTCTGTTTCAGTGCATTTAAGTTGCTGAAAGAGGAAACTTGGGGATGTCTCTTGTGCTGAAATCTGGGGTGACAAGTCTCATAAAGCACAAGAACAAATCTCAACCTGGAAAAAATAAAAACAATCATAACAGTGAGAGAGTCTCCTGTGCAAGCTACATTCAAGAGCTTCGAAGACATTACCTAAGACATTACCTACCTTATTTCCTATATAGGCAAAACTACAGGAGATGTCAATCAGAATTTTGTTTGAAAAAAGACAGCAAGACTAGGATCTACACAGGAACATTTCAGCTCTACCTCTATCTGATGAATTCATGCTTTTGCAAATGCAACCTTTTTGATGTTTAGGCAAAATTTGCCTATTTCTATCACACTGCTGGGAACAGCATTCTGCATACCTATTGGTGCTGTATGATCTCTAAAGAGAAATAAGACTTGCAGACGAAAAAATATGCACCAAGATGCACAAAGCAATTACTTTTCAAAAATTTCACATCTAAATCAGAGCATTATATATGCTGCAATAATAATGACCACTTCTGATCGTTAGACATAATATTTTAACACGAGTACTGCAATGGTTAGCAGTATTTCTTACAATTGCTGTTTTTTCAGAGCTTAGTGAAGTTTAATACCGGGCATACATAGATTTTGAAAACTGATTCATAACGCCACTTTCAATGCTTCCAAAAACATAACACCAGTGTCAACAGCTGGAGGTCGACCTTCTACTGTACAAGGCTCTGCTTACAAAGATTGTTGCTGCAGTAGGGGACAGAGCATATTGAAGCAGCTGAAACTACAGAAATCAAATTCATGCAACTCAAAAGACTCAGAAATAAACAGAGAAAGGAGGAATACAGTGTAAAACATCAGGAATACTACAATTCCCAATGGTTTTTATCATTTATCTGTTTTGAAGATGCCATGTCAACCGATGTTTGGCTTAGTTACACTGGACATATATAACATAAGCGGTGTAAAACAAATTTACATCACACATCAGGTCTGTTTCAGGTCAAGCAGATGACATAACAAGAAAGATGTTATTACAGGGCAGAAAAATATGCAGCATGGCAACTAAACAGCAGCCAGCTGAGTATCAACCCCAGAGCTTGCGAAGACATATGGATTGGGTCCCTCAGGAAATGTCATCAGTATCTCACTCTTGTAAGGTAAGGACCTTACAAGAAAGTGTTTTTTGAAGACATAAGACAACTTCATGCTCCCCTAAACATATAAATGGAAGCCCTTCGTGCCAATGATCCCTGCATTTTTTATTGCATGGTATTATAAATATAATCAGCTTTCATTCTGAGAAACTGAACAGTGTAACGACTTTTCTGCACCTCTGAATGAGCTCAGATATTCCCTTAGCTAAACTGTCTAAACCTTTGTGTAACAGATTCTAGTCTCACCAAGATATCATATTACATGTTAGTGCACAATTATGTGAGTTTATAGGCATGTAGTGCCCTCTGCTGAATCACAGCATGGGTACATCGCACCCCTTCTCTCAGCTTAAAATCCTAATAATGCCACTTATAAAAGCACAGACACAGTAAGGTGCAAAGTGAGTGAGGAGGAAAAAGAGAAATAGCAAAGAGTCACGTCAGGCTGTAATTCAGTACCTATCTCAAATACTCATTTTCTCACCCGCTGTGCTGTAGAAAACCAACCTACTTTTGGTTTTCTTATCAATAACATCTAAAAATGTGTGTCTTTGTGACTCAGCCTCTTCTGTAATCGTAATTCTCAGTAGACATGGCAACTAGCTGTACCAAAGGATACCTATAGCAGCTGAGATAGAGAAGTAGGCCGACTGAGAAAATTGTAACAATGTTGTCAAGGTATTTTGCATTATTTTGTTTCCTTTGGGGAAAGAGGAGATAGGACATCTTGAGCCAACACCGTTCCGGAGCTCCTATGTTTAGCTAGTTCCTATACTGATGCATATCCTATAAATACAAAGGTAGATTGATTAGAAAATATATAGTTAGCACAAGAAAATAAAGATAACTAACGGTGCAAACTTCCAACATTAAGATATGCCAAAATATCCTCTAAATATTTTTCAGTATTCAGCTCTGGTTGCCAGACAGTTTTGTGAAATTTGGTCAGCAAAAGTAATTACATTATAAGTGAAGCACAGCCAGGTACATTGGCTTGAAACATGTATCCTGAAATAGAAAGCACCTAAGTGGAGACAATCTGTTTCTGCCATTTAACAGTCCATCTTCACTCTGCCACCACAGCAGTCACACAATCTCTTAGATTGTTGTCTCATCTGAAAA